CTTTCCCTCTACCCTGAAAACTTCTGCCCTCCCCCCTTTTAATAATAACAAAGTTGCAATGATGATTTCCTGAGAGCCGTCCACCTCACCCACTCACACTAAACCACACCGATTCCTTTTCCAAACGATTCACTCACTCACTTTCTCATTCTCCCCCCCCCTATCTATTATTTCTGATGTCTCCCCCACACCCCCAAAACACAATGGCAGTTTAAAAGGAATGAATAAGGAGAAATCTTTTCAGTGAAAGCCGTGAAGGAGGAAGGGGAGGAGAAAAGCACAATTTTAAGAGTGATCTTTCGTTTTCTACACCCTCTCTTCCAAAGAATGCAGACGATTAAGACTTCAACCAGAAAATTTGAAGTAATTGTAATTGTAATGACCAGTTCTTAATAAGATCAGGAATTAACTTAAAGCGATTTTCTTGTTTAGAACAACTCCCATTTCGTCTAATACCAGATTCATGACATTGGCAAACTGCTATGTTAATAGTGTGTTCTAATTTTTTTTTAAAAAAGGGTTTTGTTTAAAGGTTTTGGATTTTTAATTTAGGAATGATTTGATATTAAATTAAGTGTAAATGAGACGAAAAAAAAAACATTATAAAATCTTATTGCAAATTGAAGAAAGCAGATGTTTTTACTTGAATTAAGTGCGTAAGAAAATTTTTGGTTTTATAATAAGCATTCGTTTCTCTATGCAAAGTCAGATAATCGCAAGGGGTTGCTGAGTTTATGGCCTAGGCACACTTTTTAAAAGAACCCTAAATAACAAAGCAACTGTATAAAACAATATAATAATAATCTAATATTTAAGCAACTGTATAAATCAAATATATTATATGTATAACATTTAAGCAACTTTTTAAAACAAATTATTGTACCTAATTTATCAACAACAAAAAAATTATAATAGCTTCAATATTTGAAATGACATCAATTATTTAAACTACTAATATCGACTTTCTTGTAAGGATGGCTCAAACTCTGTATTTTTTTGTTTTGTTTTGTTAAATATAACCGTCGTTAAACAGCTGACCAAATTTTTGGGTTTACCACAACTAATATTCAACTCCGTAGCCATGTTATTTTGAACCCAATCCAAAAGACAAGGGAACTTCTGGGTCAAATATTGGGAGAAATTCGCCTTCGTGGAGGACTTTTTGATGGAACTAGCCCGCATTTTCGTTGCATGGAGAGGAAAACCAATAAAACCTCCACGGTTAGCTTGACGGCAAGGTAACTATAACCCATGATCCGTCTATCCCTGAGGATACTTTACATCAGTGAGGGACCATAACGGAAGTTACGACATTCGAAACTCTTTACAAATGCATAGACAGGGTTCGGAATTAGAGGTCATTAGTCGTGCATATAAATATTTACTCACTGTCGTCATTTTTGACGCCTAACTCTTAAAATTATTTTTAATTTCAACTTTGTTTCCCCTATTCAACTCTTGATCCAGCTATATGACGGACGGCACGTCAAGGTATCGGCGGGGATTTAGACCGGAAGTTACGATGTTCGAATTTGAAATTTTTTGAAAATTTCGTTTCGGGACAATTCCATCTTGATTTCACGCCGTTTGATGATAATTTGTTGTTTCGTCTTTTTCACGTGGTTCTTCGAATTCCGATGTTTTTAATACGACTTTATCAAAGTTGAGCTATCACTTTTTGACGCGTCCAATTCGTGACTATTCCATCGTAATTTTACTCCTTTGGATCATAGTTTTTTTGGCTGTTATTAATCATTCTTTGGCCTTTTTCACGTAGTTTTTATAATTCTGATCTTTTTAACAGAATATTATTACGACGTTCGAATTTGAGTTACCCCTTTTTGACGCATCCAATTCGTGACTGCTCCATCGTAACTTAACGAGAAAAGCAATCTCGTGTTAAAATATAACAATGACAATTATGAATTAATCAGTTTTAGTTTTCTTTCCTTCACATTTATGCACATGGAATTTTTGTGTATAGTTAACGATTCTAAAGATGTGTTGACATTTATGATTGCCCTTTTGTTGTTAGTAGACACTCAATAGGAATTTGAAGGTGTAATTCAAACTGATCAAATAGTGATTGTCGTTGCTTTGTTTTCATTCTGCCATCGAAAATTATCAAAATTAAATAATAATAAAGAATGAGCCTGCATATCTTACGTCTTTTTTATATCTTAGCTAAAAGCACTAGAGAAACTGCAAAAATGAAAATATCCCTAAGAATATACATTAAATCCTGTATTTCTAATCATTTCGATCTTTCCTTTAATTAAAAAAAATTGTATTATTACCAATGATCTTTATATATGAAATTAATTATCTATGTATAATTAATTATTTAAACTGCGAGAAATTATCTAATTGTAAGTTTATTATTAATTTAATAAAGATAAACACTCAAAAAAGTAAAATAGCTTGCCAAAATTATTTTAATGGATCTACTTGCACGCTAATTTCTTGTAATGCAATAGTGAAATTAAATGCTATACAAATTATGAAATAATCATTAAAATTAACATTAATAGCATCTTTAATTAATTATCGTTTAGAAAGCGCTTCACCAAATTTCTTGAATTTTGATGAAAATTATTTAATATTTCATAAAGGGCTCAATTATCATATTTTCAAAATTGCATTTTTTCATACTTAAAACATCAAAATCGTTTAACATTTCTCATAATATATTCAAAATTTATCTTCCTAATCAAAACAGAGTTCGTACGACACGTTTATCAACATTCATTAAGCCATACATTTCGGTAAAGTGATTTTTTTTTTTATCTTTTTCTTAAAAAAACATTCCTAATTATTCCGCTCACCACCTGTATTTCCTGGTAATTATTTCACACCCACCCCCCTTTAAAACTCTTGTAAAGTCCCACCCCTAATGGCATTTAAATTAAACGAAGAGAAAAAAAAACATTGCTTCATCGGGGGAGGGGGGGGAGAAATGATTTCGGCTGCACCAAACATATTAATGAAAAGGTTTTTAAGACATTTAAGGCAAAAGAATAAATAAAAAAAAACTCAGATAAAAAAAACAAACAAATGCATTTATACTGAACGTTTTACTGGGAGAAACAACAAGTAGAAAAAAAAAATGTTTTAATGTCTTAATTCCAGAAATTTTTAACGAAACGCGAGTCTAGAGTATTCTGCAAAAACATTAATTTCCCACCAGGAAAAAATCTTTTTTAATATTTTAAATAAGGAAATACACCTAATCGGGAGAGTTTTTCTCTAAGCGCCCTGGCTAAATGAAAAAGAGCGGTTAATAGCCAAAATCTGCAGTTTACCTGATAAAAGCGCCCCGGCGTAAAAAAATCAGTGGGAAAAAATTAAAAAACGGATGCAGACGATATGCTGTAAAAGAAAAAGAAAATAATGAAGGGGGGAGAAACAAAGTCACTAATTGCATGTAGATTTGAATTGCAAATTTCTTAGAATTTGGGTGAAGGGGGGGGGGATAGAAGGCGTGTGATGTTAGAGGGGGAAATTGAGATGTAAGTTTTACCTACGGAAGTTTGATCGAAAGTTTCGCCAAACAAATGTAAAGTAATCTTCCACAACACATTTTAACATAAAAGCTGTATTTTACTTACATAATTTATTAGATTTTTTCCCTGACCGTTCGTATATTTCCACTGTGTAAGCGCTTTTTGAATGGATGGGATGAGCGAACGTCAGCGACTCAGTATTTTTTGGATGTAAAAACGCAACATCTTCATCTCTACTTTTAAGAATGTCTGTGAGTTTTCTTTAAATAGTTTAGCATAGGAGCCGTGATGGCTGAGGGGATTCGCCTTCCAATGAGGTAAACCGAGTTCGAATCCCAGCGATGACTTGTCGATACGAATTCCGCATCCGTCTCGCACCAAGCACAGTGCTGATGTTAAATATCCACAGTGGTAGACGGGTCGTAGGTTAGAGTCCCTTGTCGTCAGGCTAATCATGGAAGTTTTCGTGGTTTTCCTCCCCACATAACGCAGATGCGAATGAGTTCCATCAAAAAGTCCTCCATGAAAGCAAATTTCTCTCAATACTAGATTCAAGGTCTACTTGTCTTCTGGATTGGGTTCCTTATCTTCTGGATTGGGTTCAAAATTACAAGGCTACAAAGTAGAACATTAGTAGTCGTAAACACCAAAATCGGGTCAGCGATTTCAACGATTGCTATAAAATAAAATAAAATAGTTTATCATAATATTTTTGATACGTTAACGTAACGAAAATTTACGATTACACAATAAAAGGTTAACCTTATTTTTTAAGAGGATAAACTTCAACAAATATAGTTATTGTTAAGTCATTTTTAGTACTTAAGAATTCACCAAAATATTTTCTCTATTACCATAACTGAATTCACCATTGGTATTATGAATAGGGTAGAGATTTGTGATTGTAAATAATCTATAAAATTAATGAAAAATTCACTTTTTTAAAAAAATTTAAACTTAATAGTTTTTAGCAATATTATTTTAAATCTAATTTGTGACTATGCTATTTTTTACTTGTTTTTATAGTTAAGATCGCAACGCATTCCTCTTTTCAACCGATTGATCATTATCATTATTATCACAAATATCAAAAAGATATATATATATATGGGGGGGAATAGAATGACGAAATATATCAAAACAAATTTTCAAGAAATTTGTTTTGTCGAAGATGTGGCGATAGTTATTTCGTCACTTTGCCGAATATTTTGCTCGGAATATTAACCAGTAAATGGTTTTCGTAACAGTAATAACAGTTTTATTTTGTTAAACAATTATTCACCGAAAAGCTTCAACATGAATGCATATAGAGTGTCCCCTGAAGAAATCCTTCATCGCATTAATGTTACTTTTTTTCCTGTTTCAATTTATTTTTCTATTTGAATTTAAATGTACTGCTCTCTTTAATTTTTTTAAAACAATATGCAAGACTAATATTTAAATGCAATTTTTATTCTTAAAAATTACTTCTAATGTTTATTTATTTATTTATTTCAGATTGCCAAATGACAGCATAGATGAGAGAGAAAGAGAGAAAAAAAACCCTCTGGAAACCGTGCCGGTTGCGATATTTCCGAATGACATAATGTGTAATATAATAAATTGAAAAAAAAATGTTTTATTGTATATTTGTTAAAAAAAAATTCTGGAAGACTGAGATCTGGAATCCCATTTTGTGTATCCTGCAGCCGCTATTGTTTTAAACTTTGCTATAAGCAGCGTGGGAACCAAAACAGTGTTCATATTTTAATAATTTTCACCTAACCCTGTGATTTTCATTGACATATCCTATCTACCGAGATACGAAGATTGATGTGAATACGAACGATAAACTGCCACATTTCAAAATATCCATGGAAACATAATCATCAAAATATATTTCAAAAAGAAATATTAACAATTGTTTTAAAGGTATTCTAAAAGCTTAGTTTAAAGCCGATATGAAATATCGAATTTGAAAAATAGATTTATTTCTGAGTATGCCATAATACCTATGCTCTGAATGATTATCGAATGTGGCCATATATTTATCATCATCTACTATTTAAATGAATTGGTATATGATCTTATAAAAAAGAAGATGTGTATATAATATCTCTTGAACACTGATAACAACATTCAAGTAAACCTTCATAAAACAATAAACTGATGTGTTATCAGTTTATAAGTTTTCAGCACTTTTACTTGCTTCAGAACATTTCAATATGACTGAAAGACAATTTTATTGTTAACATTTAAATCTGGCTTTAAAAAAAAAACCTTTTTATAAATGTGCACTTGTTGTAGTTAGTTTAACAATGGCAGATTTATGTTCTTTTTGATACATAAAAAAATTATCATTTTACTATTAAAGATCTCTTATGTATTCTGTAGAGTGTTGGCTATATTGAAATTTTAACATCCTTAAGTGCGCGTCTGTTCTTATTCTCTTGCGACTACTGATATTGTGAATATACATTTACATAAATGTGCAATTACAATAATGTAAAACAACATAGTACTTAATTTATTTCCTTTTTCTAAGCATTATGTTGTGTAAAAAGTATGTGAATTTATTTGAGTTTAAATGTTAAATAATTAAACAGAATTTTACCCCTTGCCTATTACATTTATAAGTTCTAAATGGATGTTTTTATAAGGAAAACTGTGAGACATTAATATTTTATCAATTATAAAATATTAAATGGTGTATAAACTATTTAAAATATAAAAATCTAACAAAGAAACAACAATAATAAGAATGTAATGTTGAATTTGATAAAATAAATAACTATTTTATAAAATAAATGTACAATCTAATAACTGATAAAATCAAGATAACTAACAAATGTAGACGAAGTCATTGAAAAATAAGATTTTTAATGCTAACTTAACATTTAAAATAACTAAATACTAAAAAAATGATTTAATCGAGGATATTTAAATAATGTACAATATATATCAAAGCAAATTATATATAGCACAAATATAATTTATGTAATATGAAAAAAAAACTATATGATGTAAACCACTTTACATACTTAAAGAACAATTATAAAACCTTTTATGTTTTTATATAAATTTTAAAATATTCCTAATATAAACATTAAACTTCATACCTATTCATTTTATGCTTATAGCAATAATATTATGAGGATTATAAAAGTTAAAACATTATAATTAAGGAATTCGAAACATGTTTAGATTTCTTTGGCAATATACTAACTTATTTTGGAGACTTTTGACCGTAGAATTTTGAAAATAATTTTGTAAAGTATTTCTTGTGAATGTACGCATGAATCATCTAAAGCAAAACTGTTGAGTACACAGACACATGCAGACATTTTAATTTTTCTTAGTTATTTCATACTGTGTGAATGCATCAGTATATTGTTAAGCAATATCTTATAAGATATCAAGAATCTGAGATTCTATACTTGTTTTGTATATACGTTATTTTGTGTATTAACGTATTGTTTTATGAATGTCAAATCGTATAAGAATGCCAATAAAATTTTAAAACACTGTCTCTAATAATCTTGTTATTTATCTTCTTTTTTAATTTGTCTCAAACTTTAAAAAAAAACAACTCATTGATAGTAATTCATTTAAATAAAAGTGTAAATAAGTAATTAATTTAAACTCCATATATATATNATGTCATTTGCAGAAATCTCTACAATGCGGTCAAATCGTTAATGCGTTCTCTACATGAAAGTTTTATTTTCACTTGACATTAAAATCATAGAATGAAAAGGATACTGAAAAATTAGTATATATATATATATATATATATATATATACATTCGCCATCCCGCCAAATGAGATAAAATCATAAATCTGGCTAATAAAATTGTGTTTTGGCGAAAGTATTTAAATATGATTTTTTCCACTGAAAAAGAAATTATATTTAACTCCATCCTCAAAATAAAGCCAAAAAGAATTTTTCTAAACAAATCAGTATTTTTTATTCAATTACAGTAATTTTGGTAGATGTGCAGCATAACCAATTAAAATTGGGTTCAAATATTATAAGTCTGAAACAAACTACCATAAAATAGTTTTCTATGGGGAAAAAATTAATCATAAAAAATTGTTAAGATTTCCATTTGACGAAGCGAAGAAGATATATATGAAAATATTGTACTAATACATTTACACAATTATTACAAAATCTTTAATGCTTATTAATTTAATTTTGTTAACGAAATAGTATTTTTAACACATCAGATAATATTTTTTAATAAATTTATCAAATTTTAAGTCGCTTTAATATTTAGAGAATTAATAAGTTCTATAATAATCATTCCTACGCTATATTTTTTATAAATTTTGCATGAATGTAGTTTTTATGTGCTTCGTATTTTACGAAAGGTTACAATCGATTCTTGTCAGAAATAGCATAATCTTATTGCCCGCTTTGGACTCCAAAAAAAATTACGTTATGAAAATATTTCTAATTATGTTAACAAGAAGAAAAATATTTATAATGTTAATCGAACGACGATTGCCTAATATTATTTATCACAAACTTAGTGAATCATATTTGTATGCTTATCAGTCACTGTTAAACGAAACTATTTAAAAAGAGCATTGAAAATTGAAACTAAAGAAATAAAGAAGTTTTATAACTCAATTATTTAAAAAGTCATATTTCAGTTTAAAAATTTCAAAATTAAATTTATTTAGCTAAGTTATTAAATTAATTAATAAAACACATTCGAATAAATTGACTGTATAATTTGCAATAGTTTAATCGCTCACGAATATTCATGAAACATTTGTTTCGTCATAAAATGTCTGAGGGCGTGTGAGACATCAATTTGTAGAATTTTCCTTATATTTTTGTTCGCAAAATTTAAATATTTTTTATACAAATATATGTTTTTAATTTATTTCAAACATTATGTTACTCTTTATGCAAAATTTAATTTTAAATAAAAAACCTTTTTACTCTAATCGTACATGTGAAATAGTGATATATAATTTAAATTAGCAATTATACTTTAATGCCATTAACTTCCTGGGATTTGATGTAAATTTTAATTAAGAATAAGTCGAAATCACGCTCTAGAGTCGAACATTACAACTAATGATTCTATAGCTCTGATTACAATGCTAAATAGGTGTAAAACGGAGAAAATTAAACGGGGAATTGTATGATTTTGTTTTATGATGTCACCGTGAAGGAAGAGAATGTCGACTTTTACCGATGACCATTTTTGATGCAAGAAATCCTACAGCTTTTAATTTTGCAAATTTATGAAAAAGAACATAATTTTTTTAATTTATGTTTTAGATTATACCAACTCCTTTTAAACGTTGCTCAATTACATAAATAATGAATTAATTAAAAAGAAACATATTTATTATCCCGTATAGTATTTTGAATATCAGAAGCAGTCGAATTTTAAACAACAGCTATAACTTTTTTGTTTAATTATATAGATTATTTTATGATCTATAAAAGTCGTTTTCGTAAAAATTATTGCTTTAGTTAAATATATTTATATGTAGTTTACCTAAAATAAATAATAAATATAAATATATTTATAAAAAAACTTTAAAACTTAGTTAGAAAAGACGATATAATAAATAAAATTTTTTGATACATAATTGGATTTTTAAAAAAATGCGTTGAACCTATGCCAATATTTTATTCTTTACTGCGGTACCTTTGCGGCATTTTATAGTCTTATGATCGCGTAAAAACGTAAATTTAAGTCCAATCTAAAATCATGCAAATTTGCAAGAAAGAAAAATTCGAAATAAAATTTAACACAAAATAATAATAACAAAAATAATCATAATAACAAAAAACATGATAAATGCGCTTAGGAGTACGTAAACAATTAGAAATTAAGCACTAATGCATATAACCTGATTTAAAGTATGAAATAATATTAAAAAATATTTTATAATTTAAACAAAACATGCATGTTTACTAATCAGACAATTATGCGTGAAAGTTATAGTTAGAGCCAGGATTTTTATGATTTAAAAATAAACTTAAAATTGCCCTTGAAATAACTAAAATTGCCCTTAAGAAGATTTTAAAAAACAATGATAAAATCTCCTTGTAATTTAACATGAATTTCAATTTTACTAGAATTTCCAATTTATACATCATTAATACATAAAAGTTATCATTATATTAAGAGTGCTTTTCGAAGCCTTTTCCCCCCAAAAAAATATATAAATAAATTGCCGTACATTGCCTTACGCTTAAGCAAAGCTGTAATTTTAAACTAAAAATACAACCTTGCCGTAATGAATTGGCTAGGCAGAGAGCAAATAACTTGATTATTTTTGAGGTTATTGAATTTTACTTTTTTAGAAAAAAAAAAAAACGTCTATTTGTCGCAATTTTTCTCCCTTAGTTAAAATTATCGAAATCAATGAATAAATAAACATAAAGAATAATTTTCGCAAATTTTCTTGGTCCCTGATAATGCGCGTTTGAGTAACTTTTTAAACGTTAAAAAGTTAGATCACAAACGATTTTCATTTTCACAAAACTTTGGCTTTCCTTCATCTAGACGTTTTGAGCTATTTTCATAATTAGCATAGAGGACGTTGAATAAAGATATTATAGCCGAATAACTGTTGCAAAGTCACAGCAGTTATGAAAATAGTATGTTATTTGCACAAAAGTTTGATTTTATGCAATGATTGTGTCTTCGGAAAACAGCCTTAAAACATGCATATTAAGAGAATGTGGGATGCAAGTTTCATTAAAATTTGAAACAATGTTAAATGTTAATCAACTTCAAGTCAACTGAAGTAATTTTTTTTCCTAAGAGACTTTATTTAATGTTTAGTTCAGCTAAAATAGGTAAAGATTGCATGGCTGAGCTAGTACTTCTAAAAACTTCAAATTCAAAAATAAAGTGCTCCAAAAGTGCCCTAAATTAAAAAAAAAGGTCCCTAAATCACAAAATAAAAAAATTACTTTTATAAATTTTAATAAAATGCCCTAAAGGAATATTCTAGTCCAAAAGTTTATAAAAAATGAAAAAAGTCATCAACATTCGGTTATTGGTTATTATTAAATTAGAAACATGATAAATATAACAGTTTACAACTCAAAGCTTTATTGTCCCTAAACCTAAATTAACTATGATTTCTGTCTTAATTAAGTAAAGTAATCGCTATCAATTATGTCTTTATATTACAATATATTAATTACATAATTTTTTATAATATATAATAAAAAAGTCATCAACATTCGGTTATTGGTTATTATTAAATTAGAAACATAATGACTATAACAGTTTACAACTATTCAAATCTTTATTGTCACTAAACCTAAATTAACTATTACTACTTTCTTAATTGAGTAAAGTAATTGCGATCAACTATGTCTTTATATTATAATATATTAATTACATAATTTTTTTTAATATATAAGCAATTTAATTATATTTAATATTACAAACGTTAAAAATTTTTGATATAGTATTTTTTTACAAAATAAATTTTTTTGTATCCAACATAAAAACACTGATTATTGCTTCATTGTAAGAATTGTAGAAAAAACTCTGTAGAAAATATATTAATTGCATAATTTTTTATAATATATAATAAAAAGTCATCAACATTCGGTTATTGGTTATTATTAAATTAGAAACATAATAACTATAACAGTTTACAGTTATTCAAAGCTTTATTGTAACTAAACCTAAATTAACTATTACTACTTTCTTAATTGATTAAAGTAATTGCGATCAACTATGTCTTTGTATTATAATATATTAATTACATATTTTTTTATAATATATAAACAATATTAATCATATTTAATATTACAAACGTTAAAAATTTTTGATATAGTATTTTTTTTCCAAATAAATTTTTTTGTATCCAACATAAAAACTGATTATTGTTTCACTGTAAGAATTGTAGAAAAAACTTTTTCTCATCAACAGCGAAAGAATAAATAATCCAATAAAAAGGAATGAAGCGATAAAACCTGAAAAAAAGTAACAATGAGAGAAGAGAATAATAAAACTTAATAATGGAAATGCTTAAAGTTTTTGTAACCTGTATGGGCTAAGGGAATACATTAGAAAACGAAATAGATTTGAAGACAACAATCATTGACGACTTTAGGGCAAATATAGAAAAAATCTACAAGATCAAGTTTTTACAATCCATAAGCCAACGCTGTCAAAAGGAAGTGAAAACCAATTTTTTAAACTTTTGTAAAACCATATTTTTCACTCATATCAGAGACCCAGTTTTTTTTTTAAAAAAAAGAAAAAAAGATTAAAAAAAAGTATGAAAATACACAAAGAAATGATTGTTGGTACAAAAACGCTTGCGGGCACAACCAAAAAGGTAGGAAAGAGAAGAAAAAAAATCTCGACTATCGTTGCGTGCACGCGGAGGGGTAGAATGACAACATTTATCACCAAACTCCCCCTACCTACATGGCTTTCCTGCCTCGCAGCATATTAAATGCAGATTTTGTTCCCTCTATGACTCAGTTTAAAGTCATCGATCTAGCCATTCACGTTGATCGTCACT